AATAATGTTATATCCTTTTTCTAGTCCACATGTGAACAAGGCCGTAGTATTCATAGCAAGAGCGATCAGTAATCACATTGTGTCGCCTCAATAATGGCCAATTCATGTTGGACAAATTTGCTGACAGACGGACCAAGACGGACAAGTGCACACAACTAGCTTTGCACTGATTCATCATGTAAAGTTTGGATAAGATTGCCACCAGTAGCTTATGAGGATAGTCCGGACAAGCTTTTGCGATCTGCAACACACAGAAAAAAAACACCTTTTTATCTAAAGGGCCATAAACTCGGCCAAAAATCATTCAACCGGAAAACACGTGCTATATGCGCAAGGACTTGAGCTACCAGATTCCAATCCTGTAAAGTTCATTTGAAAATTTGCATAAGTGGTATAGAGAACTAGTCCGGACAAACTGTTAAAAATGAAAAATTATGTAAAGGGACCATAACTCTGAACAAAAATCATTGAACCGGAAATGCTTACAATATTGCAACAATAAATTGGTACTGATCCATTCCTGCTAAAGTTTGCATGAATTGCAACCTGTAGTTTATGAGGAAGTTAGTCCGGACAAGCCTTTGTGTATCTGGCAACACACAGAAAAAAAAACACCTTTTTATCAAAGGGCCATAACTCGGCCAAAATTCATTCAACCGGAAAACCCATTGCAATATGCGCAATGCCTTGAGCTACAGATCAATCCTGTAAAGTTCATTTTGAAATTGCATAAGTGGTATAGAGAAGTAGTCCGGGGACAAACTTTTAAAATTAAAAATGTGATTAAAGGGCCATAACTCTGACAAAAATCATGACCGGAAAATGCTGACAAATATGCCACAAACTAGACTTTGGTACTGATCATTCCTGTAAAAGTTGGGATGAATTGCACCATTAGTTTATAGAGGGTAGTCCGGAACAAGTTGTGACGGACGGTACGGACAAACAGACAGACAGACAGACGGACAGACAGACGACGGAGAAGTGATCCCTATATGTCGCCAACTACTCCGTAGAGCGCGAGACACAAAAGAGAAGAATGATGCAGAAGAAGATTCCCGATTACGGTTGAGAAAAATCGACAGTGTGTAACCGAGCATTACAAATGAGCTGATTTAAGATACAATAACAATTGATATATTTAGATAAAATCTAGCTAGTTTAAACGCAGTATCTTACGCAAGAAACCGAAAATGGACGGAAAGATATAGTGATTGCTGTAAGCACCACAGATAATTACACTTTATTACGTACTTTGTATTTATTACAAAGCCGTAAAACTTGGCACTGACATACCAAGAACTGATTTGTTAACGCGTCAAGCAAAAAATTCGATAAAGTAATATAGAACTAATATAAAGAATCAGAGTAAGTGTAGTTGGTTTACGCCATATATTTTTTGACAGTCTTTAAAGTTCTAAATTTATCAATTACAGTATGATTTTGACTATAAATACTGTTTCATTATGCTAAGTAGCTAGTCTTGTTTTCTGATTTAAGAAAACTGCATAAATTTGTTACATTGTATATAACTTGTTTTAAAAAAACTAATATCCGCTAAAAACAGTGACCGAGTGTTATAATACAGCTTTATTGTCATTTCGCATTTGGTCGGAAATCATAGTCACAATAAAACGGTTTTATAAAATTCACTAATGAGGACTTACAAAATAATTTTGATCTGAACCACTCACATATCTGGATTTAAACTGGCCTAAAACAAGTTCGATATCTTGTGTCACAATTTTTGTTGTATCGAGGTTCATGACCTGTATTACCAGCTTAACCTCTTTTTTATATCATTATGAACTCGTGTCTTTGATTTGTTTAAACTTGAAAATAACAGACGATCAGACACGCTTTTGCATTCACTTCTTTACGACAGATTTCCTGTTATTATTCAATAAGAAATACTCACAAAATTTGGTCACGAATTTTCTTTGTATGTTGCAAATGTTTATTATATTTTGACATTATTGGAAACCTTTCCTATGCGTGAATGTATTGAATCATATGCTATGAATAATGAACTGAATGCTTACATGCTTACTAGAAAGGGTGATCACTCAGAAGAATAAATCACAACTAATTTACATGAACATTCAAGACTCAGTTTGATTGAGTATGTACATGAGGGAAAATGAAAACGTGCAACATTTATGCTATTACATTCAAACTATATTGTAATCCACATAACGCAACCTGTATATTTGATAATAGTGACTTTCTTTTTTCCTCTAATATTTGTTTGTACACTTGATACTTACCTCTTGAGCTATATGTGATACCTTGATAACTATACTAGTTAATATTTGTGTGTACAGACTTGTCTGTACATTTGATACTTACCCCTTGAGCTTTATATAGTACCTTGATAACTATACTAGTTAATATCTGTGTGTACAGACTTGTCTGTACATTTGATACTTACCTCTTGGGCTATATATGAGGCATTGATAAGTATACTAGTTAACGTTTGTCTGTATATTTGATACTTACCTCTTGAGCAATGTATGATAACTTGATAAGTATACTAGTTAATATTTGTCTGTAGTCTGTACAGTATACTAGTTAATATTTGTCTGTACATTTGACACTTACCTCCAGAGCAATACATGATACCTTGATAAGAATACTAGTTAATATTTGTCTGTACATTTGATACTTACCTCCAGAGCAATACATGATACCTTGAAAAGTATACTAGTTAATTTTTGTCTGTACATTTGATACTTACCTCTTGAGATATATATGATAACATGGTTTGTATACTAGTTAATGTTTGTCTTTATATTTGATACTTACCTCTTGAGCTATATATGATACCTTAATAAGTATACTAGTTTATATTTGTCTGTACAGTATACTAGTTAATATTTGTCTGTACATTTGATACTTACCTCCTGAGTAATATATGATACCTTGATAACTGTTTGTACATTTGATACTTACCCCTTGAGCTATATACGATCCTTGATAGGCTATACTAGTTATAATATGTTAAGACAAAATAACACCTCATGAGACAAATTGTAAGTTAAGATTTTATTTTATATGTTTTATATTTGTTTTCTACATCTGATATAATGTATGTAGTTAATGTAAAAAACATTTCTAATGCATTTCTTCGTACTATATGAATGGATGTTAAATTGGATATACTATTTTGTTAATATGTATTATACTTGTTTCTGTATATGTCTATGTTCACCTCTGTAAATATGTAATGCTCTTCAATATTGGAGGAAATAAAAGTATCTATCTATCCTCACGCACGGGCGGTACTCAATTTGTTTTACACTTTCAAGGATCCAGAAGAACCAAAAAAAATATAGCATCACTGAAGTGAACATTTTACAGCTGCCACATGGCACTTTGTACCTGCTGTTGTGATGTATAAAGATCTGGAGAAAAGGCGATCCCTCGGAAGCTTTAACAGCCAGGTTATATTGTTATGTGAGAAATAAAAGTAAAATGTATATTATTTATTTGTTGATTATTTTGTACATACAAACCGACCAAGTGAACAGTATAGCAGCTATTAAATTTTTTTTCATATCAAATTTTGTCAGTTTCATTAAAATGGATGCCGATTCAAATGTTCAATAAAACAGAGGTTTGTGAGTAACAGTATCATCCCGAGGGGAATACGTTTACCCGAGGTATTGCTAACATTAGTTTCCACGCGATGATATTTCTGCTGTTCATCACAAACCTATATGTTATTTATTTTATTACTTCGTTGGGACACTCTTTCTATATGCTTGCTTGCTCTTAAAATAGGCACGCACTTGTTGAAGTGAAGCTTAATCAATATGCAATCTAATTGTTTAATTTCTCAATACACTATTGACATTACATTCATTCATTGCGCTTCATTGTAATCATTAATGATGATGTCACCAATTTTCAACAAAAGAACCATTGTCCCAGGTGATTAGCATTATCATTAATGATGATGTCATCAAATTTCAACAAAAGAACCATTGTCCCAGGTGATTAGCATTATCATTCATTTTCAAAAGAACCATTGTCTCGGGTGATTAGCATTATCATTAAGTTTCAAAAGAACCATTGTCTCAGGAGATTAGAATTATCTACTTATCTCGGATTAATTCGGATTAATTATATCATAATCTTGTCTCAATTTCAAAAGAACCATTGTCTCTGGGGATTAGGATTATCTACTTATCTCGGATTAATTCGGATTAATGACGTCACTTCTCGGCTCCCGGCTCCGGCTCTTCTCCGACAAATCTCCGAAAAATCAAACTCTCATAATGTATATACTAGTAAGAGTGAGAATTATGAAGCCATTGGCACAGACAGAACTTGAGATATATCAAACTTGCCTGTTTAGGTAAACCACATTCATTGTCAAATTTCTTAAAATGGCAATAACTTGGGAATTTTAACAATAGCCACTGCCTGGCAGGGGCAACACTTTTCATTTTTTACTTTTTCCAAAAGCAAACAAATAAACAATTTAAAAAAATCTTTAAAACAAAAAGAAAAATAACATTTTTCCTTTTTGTTTTATTCTGATAAGGTCTGTCTAAACTTAATGAACAGAACTCCACCTAGAGTAAACACCATCCCGAGAAAATTTTGTTTTCCCTTAAAATGTCTCTGTAATTATATTCTAACATGCAAAGTTTCAAATTCTATTGAACAGTTTTAATTTTGCCTATATGTCTATAAGAAAACTTCAAAAAACGTCCTTTACTTTAAGGGTTTTATGACTGTAACAATATAGATCTCCATTTTTTTCTTCCAAAAATGTCGAGCTAAAAATGAAGGCAAATGTTCTTACTTGCCAAAATTCTGTTCTTTGCATTGATAAGTGTGTTAACTGATGAAACCAATGGTACCGGTAGAACTTCAAATAAATCTAACTTGCTGTTATATGATGCTCAAGACACATGAGTTGATGGACCAATTCTAAGACATAATTGTCAACATTCAATCATTACAGTCAATCATGAGAAGAAAAAACTTACTTTTTGTTTCTATAGTAACAGGCTACAAAGAATGTAACTGCACACAGAATTATGAGAAAACCTGTCAAAGGTACTGCCCAAAACAACACTGTGTCTTCTCTTTCAGTTTCTATGGTAACAAACTCCTTCTTCAGTTTCTCCTTGTCCAGTACATTACTGAGATTAGTTTTGAAAAGTGCCTGCTCTTCTGTTACTGAAATTGATTACTTCTGATACTATAAAGTGTCCCTCTTATTACTATAAGAATTTTTGACAGAGTTACCAAACAACCCCCACCTAAAGAATTTTTTACATAAACCTCAAAATTGTGCTATCTCAAAAGATTGAGGTATGGATCTGGACTACTGTGTAAAATTTTGAAGCTAGATCTGCACATGCAAATAACAATAAATGCATTAAAGAATATAATAAAATGTATGTGTCAACAAACATAGTCATTTGTATGCTTGTTATCACTATTTCAAACCCACAAAATTTTACAAATACATAATGAATACCCTCTGGACATGGTTTGTTCCATGGCATATTTCGTGCCCAGTCATCAATCAAGGTATGTGGGCAATTCAACAATGACATATTTTATTTGCATGGGCCTGACTTGGCATCATATCCTGTAATTGACTATCTAAGGCTTTAACCACAAAGTGTGACCTTGACCTGTCTAGGTGTTGCGCATGACATGGTGTCTTATCATTTCAAATCCTTTAATAAATGACATAGTTATAGACCGAACACAAAAATGTGATGGATGGACGAGACGGACGAACGAAGCCTGTTTCTATATCCCACTTTTTTCTTCTTAAAGGCTGGGGACAATAAATTTTAATTCCCCTCAGGAACAAAACAAAGTATCATTTAAAGTAGGAATATACTGTTATATCATGTTCTTAATTGTGTTTTAATTCACAACAAGCAGGTGGGTGTCATTTAGGTCCCCTTGCATCATGCCAGCTTTACTGATAGAAGAAAACCAGTAATTTACCTCTCTATGCATTATAATCAGGTACAAGCAGGCAAATGAATGAAACCACTAACTGTATATTTGGTAACTGATTACCTCCCTTTGAATTAAAGAATTTGCAATTCCTGATGTGTTTCTAACCAAATCAATGTTGGTGAATTATTGTTAGTGACTAAACCACACAGAGACATCCTATAATCATCATTAATAATCCAATTCTTCACAAGCAGGACTCATCCAAACAATTTTTCCTTTGGTGAGAAGTATTTTGAAAAGGATATATAACTCTGTCATGTACTTTGTATTGTCAAGTTAGTGTGTAAATAATGAAGACATTGGTACATATATAAAACTTTTAAAAAATCCAACTTGCCATTTTTGTTTAACTTCGTATGGATGGTTCAATTAATATATGACCAGAGGAATAAAAAAAGCAAGGTTGGACGGCAAAGTCCCAAGAACATGTTGCACAATGGACAGTTATCATGTTTTCTTTGGACCTAAAGTTCATACTAATTGTTACAAGACTAAACAACTAATGCACCAAACACAATTATGGAGCAGAACATAATTGCAAGCACTTATTTGCAAATGACATAAGCAAGAAATCTGCAATACTGGAAATGAAAATAAGAAAACACAAAAGCACCACAAGGCGGAGCATTATATGCCCAAAAGTATTTTTTCTTAGTAAGGATGCGGCATTTGTAAGACATGGAAATTACATAAAGTACTACCTCCTTTAAATAGCAATCCTCCTATGAAGTTTGAATATTGTGGGCCAAATGGAACTTAAGTTACATGTATGCTCCAGAAACTGTTTTCAGTTTTAAGGTAATAGTGACCTTGACCTTTGAACTTGTAACCCAAAATAAATAGGGGTGTTCTACCTTATATGGAAAATCATCCTATGAAGTTTGAACACTGTGGGCCCAATGGAACTTAAGTTATGTTCTGGAAACTGTTTTCAGTATTAAGGTAATAGTGACCTTGAACTTCAACATTTTGACCCCAAAATCAATAGGGGTCTTCTACTTAATATGGACAATCATCCTATCAACTTTGAGCTCTGTGGTCCCAATGGAACTTAAGTTATGTTGCTGAAACTGTTTTCAGTTTTAAGGTAATAGTAACCTTGACCTTTAACCTTGTGACCCCAAAATCAATAGGGGTCTTATACCCAATATGGACAATCATCCTATGAAGTTTGAATATTATGGGCCAAATGTCACTTTAGTTATGCTCTGGAAGCTGTTTTCAGTTTTAAAGTAATAGAGACCTTGACCTTTGACCTTGTGACCCCAGAATCAATAGGGGTCTTCTACCCAATATGAACAATCATCCCATGAAGTTTTAACACTGTTGATTGAATTGAACTAAAGTTATGCTCCAGAAACTGTTTTCAGTTTAAAGGTAATAGTGATCTTGAACTTTGACCTTGTGACCCCAAAATCAATAGGGGTTTTCTACCGTATATGGACAATCATCCTATAAAGTTTGAATATTGTGGGCCAAACGGAACTAAAGTTATTCTCCGGAAACCAAATTGCTAACAAACGGACGGACGTCTGTACTTACGAAATTATCCTTATTTGACTTTTCCTTTGATCTTTTCAGCCATTTTTAGTCACAAAAGGTCTATAAAAAGACACACAAGTAAAAGCGGAATTAATAGGATCAAAGGAAATGTACCGTTACCCTTTGTTCTCCAATTTACACAAGTACCTCTGGGTTTGTATGGATGGAAGGACGGACAGACGCCATGGGGTATAACCTAATATGCCCGAAATTCTTTCAGGCATATAAAAATAAATAGGAAGAGCAATCCTCATTAACCACAACAGTAGGAGAAGTTACAAGTAGAATGTTCAATTCTGGCGAACAATTTGAGCTGTGTCACGACAAAACCAACATAGTGTGTTTGCGACCAGCATGGATCCAGACCAGCCTGCGCATCCGCACAGTCTGATCAGGATCCATGCTGTTTGCTTACAGACCCTATAACAAGTAAAGAAACTGATAGCGAACAGCATGGATCCTGATCAGACTGCAAGGATGAGCAGGCTGGTCTGGATCCATGCTGATCTTAAACACATAATGTTGGTTTTGTCGTAACACGGCTCATTTATGTCTGCCACCTAATCTTTTAAAATAACTAAGTTGATGTACAACCACATGGTGTACTGTTTCTGACAGTGACCCCTGATTTATCAATCAAATACTCTCCTTAATGAGCTTAAATTGTGAAGATTGGAAACTAGACATAATATGATGGTATATTTACCTGTGCAAGATATATTGTTGACACTGTCTGGGCACAGACAAGTCCTCTGCCCTTTGGGTTTTACAAGGCATAGATGTGTACAACCACCATTATTCATTGAGCACACAGTGTCTGATACTGTAATATATGATAACTATTTATGCCATTCAAACTAAACTACTATTGACACAAAAAGTTTATCAGAAATTAAATATACATGATTGTTAATCCAATGCTGTGCTAATTTTGGCCATAGAGCAACTTTTAAAACTTAATTGTGTACAAAGGCAATGAAAAAATGAATTTTAGCAAATTAAAATATTGTTTTGTATCATGCATCAAATTGACAATGATAATAATTATATTAAACATTTGTCTACCAACAAGAGCACTTATAATACAGATTGTTGCAAATAATACTTTTTGTACACCTGGTATTTAATAAAATTATGTTTCTTTGCATTTACATAATGATGAGAGATTTACATTGAATATATATCTCAAATGATTCAATCTCCACATATGTATATTACAAACTAATCAAACTTCTTCCTGTGTTTACACCTATTAATTTTTAACCTAATACCTCAATTGGCCAGAAAAAAGTGTTTTACCTCCCTCTGAACCCCTGTGCCCTAGAGCCAGGGCAGATTTTGGTTATATTTTTAAGTTGTAGGTAAAATCAACTTGCTGTGCATATTTAACCATTTTCACTACAAAACAGGGCATTTTGTAGATATATTCAACCATTTGTCTCTGCAAAACAGGGCATTTTGTAGATATATTTAACCATTTGTCTCTGCAAAACAGGGCATTTTGTAGATATATTTAACCATTTGTCTCTGCAAAACAGGGCATTTTGTAGATAAATCAAACCATTTGTCTCTGCAAAACAGGGCATTTTGCAGATATATTTAACCATTTGTCTCTGCAAAACAGGGCATTTTGTAGATATATCTAACCATTTGTCTCTGCGAAACAGGGCATTTTGTAGATATATTTAACCATTTGTCTCTGCAAAACAAGATATATTTATATTAAACATTATGTCTATACAAGGTAGAGGTATTTAGCAGATTTATATATGCAAGGCAGGGGCATTTAACAGATTCATGTTTCCATTTCTCACTGCAAGACGGAGACATTTTGAGGATATTTTTGACCACCTGTCTTTGCGAGGTATGGGCATTTAGCCAGAAATTAATAACCCTCTTTTTTTAGGCAGGGCAATGGCATTATGCAGGTAATTTCAACATCTAGCTGCCTCAGCAGTGCTATACATCAAGAGTACATCCCGACATTATTGTTTTGGATGGTTTGTGTAGGAGGGAGAAAGGTCTATGGTTACAAATGTTAGCTGCTTTATTATGATCTAGATAATTGAGCCACCTCATGACAAAAACAACATAATGGGTTTGCGACCAGCATGGATCCAGACCAGCCTGCGCATCCGCGCAGTCTGATCAGGATCCATGCTGTTCGCTATCAGTTTCTCTACTTGTAAAAGAGTTGGTAAGCGAATAGCATGGATCATGATCAGACTGCGCAGATGCGCAGGCTGGTCTGGATCCATGCTGGTCGCAAATGCATTACATTGATTTTGTCATGACGCGGCTCAGTATCTTGATATTAAACAATTGGAAATCACTCATCATAGTTAAAATGTATAATACCGTGAATGGATCTGTGTGTGTGATCTAAGGCAAATAGAATTCCAACATCTAATTGCATATCAATCTCCTTGGTAACATCAGACTTCTCCACATAGTGGACATATTTTGAGTTCAGATCTGTGAAATATATAGTTCTATCTGTAACAACCAATCCATATGGGTGAGAGTCCCTGTAAACAGTTTAATTGATATAAATTTAACATCAATCAATTTGAAGAAAATGTTACTCAATCAGCTATTAATATTGGATAACAAACAGAAAGAATTGAAAACAATTTATAGTTTTTGAATCAAATAAACAAGAAAATTTCATGACACCTTATATTATGCAAACCTGATTATTGAAATTAATATTAATAACTAAAAGTTCAGACAATAAGTTAAAAGCCTTTAAAATTCTGGTAACTGAATCAATTAATAAAGATCATAAATTAATTAGCACTCAACAATTTTGAACAAATTTGAATATTTTTATGGTCAACTTTTAGGATTTATAAAGAAAGTAACATAACCTTCAATCCAAATAAGTTAACAGTTTCTGGAACATATACAATTGAATCAAATAATCACTACCCAGTAAACCTTTACAGAGAAGTCCATTGTATATTATTTTAGGCCTGAAAGATTCTAAGCCTAGGGCAAGTCCATTGTATATGATTTTAGGATTGACAGATTCAAAGCCTAGGACATATCCATTGTATATATTGTATATGATTTTAGGATTGACAGATTCAAAGCCTAGGACATATCCATTGTATATATTGTATATGATTTTAGGACCGACAGATTCAAAGCCTAGGACATATCCTTTGTATATATTGTATATGATTTTAGGACCGACAGATTCAAAGCCTAGGACAATATCCATTGTATATATTGTATATGATTTTAGGACCGACAGATTCAAAGCCTAGGACATATCCATTGTATATATTGTATATGATTTTAGGATTGACAGACTTAAAGCCTAGGACATATCCATTGTATATATTGTATATGATTTTAGGATTGACAGATTCAAAGCCTAGGACATATCCATTGTATATATTGTATATGATTTTAGGACCGACAGATTCAAAGCCTAGGACATATCCATTGTATATATTGTATATGATTTTAGGACCGACAGATTCAAAGCCTAGGACATATCCATTGTATATATTGTATATGATTTTAGGACCGACAGATTCAAAGCCTAGGACACATATCCATTGTATATATTGTATATGATTTTAGGATTGACAGACTTAAAGCCTAGGACATATCCATTGTATATATTGTATATGATTTTAGGACCGACAGATTCAAAGCCTAGGACATATCCATTGTATATATTGTATATGATTTTAGGACCGACAGATTCAAAGCCTAGGACATATCCATTGTATATATTGTATATGATTTTAGGACCGACAGACTTAAAGCCTAGGACATATCCATTGTATATATTGTATATGATTTTAGGACCGACAGATTCAAAGCCTAGGACATATCCATTGTATATATTGTATATGATTTTAGGACCGACAGATTCAAAGTCTAGGACATATCCATTGTATATATTGTATATGATTTTAGGATTGACAGACTTAAAGCCTAGGACATATCCATTGTATATATTGTATATGATTTTAGGATTGACAGATTCAAAGCCTAGGACATATCCATTGTATATATTGTATATGATTTTAGGACCGACAGATTCAAAGCCTAGGACATATCCATTGTATATATTGTATATGATTTTAGGACCGACAGATTCAAAGCCTAGGACATATCCATTGTATATATTGTATATGATTTTAGGATTGACAGACTTAAAGCCTAGGACATATCCATTGTATATATTGTATATGATTTTAGGACCGACAGATTCAAAGCCTAGGACATATCCATTGTATATATTGTATATGATTTTAGGACCGACAGATTCAAAGCCTAGGACATATCCATTGTATATATTGTATATGATTTTAGGACCGACAGACTTAAAGCCTAGGACATATCCATTGTATATATTGTATATGATTTTAGGACCGACAGATTCAAAGCCTGGGACATATCCATTGTATATATTGTATATGATTTTAGGACCGACAGATTCAAAGCCTAGGACAAACACATTGTATATGAATTTAGAATTGACAGTTTCAAAGCCTAGGACAAATCCATTGTATAAATTATATTGTATATGATTTTAGGACCAACAGATTCAAAGCCTAGGACAAATCCATTGTATAAATTATATTGTATATGATTTAAGGACCAACAGATTCAAAGCCAAGGACAAATACATTGTATATGATTTTAGGATTGACAGATTCAAAGCCTAGGACAAATCCATTGTATATATTGTAATATATATGATTTTAGGACCGACAGATTCAAACCTGGGACTATTCCAAATCCAAATCAGGACAATTTTTAGCCCTTGCTTTACAAAAAGTTAGGAGCATTGCAATTTCAAAGAATATATAATTAAGATGAAGATTATATAATTATTATATTAATAAGTCCATTCATTATACAAAAATTGGACTGTTCCAAAATCAAAGCTTGTTATGTCCATTATATCAGTTAAAGCAGCACGTCTACAGATTTATTCTTATTTTCATGAAAATTTTGAAAATAAAATTAAATGTATTATATTGTTTAGTAACCAAAAGGAAGCAATTTACACATTATCAATGGCATTTATAACCAATGTTTATTACAAAAAGAGGTCAAAATATGCAAAAAAATGCCCTTACTGTGTTAGTAACACAGTAGAAATATAGCTACAGATAATGAAAAATTCACCATTAATTGCTCATAACATGTAAATTATTTTTACTTTTCCTAAAATCTTAGTACATTTTTCATAAGTTTGATTTATTGAAATTTTTCGCACATGTGGAGGCATGCTGCTTTAAGAAAGGTAAACAATTTACTTACAGAGAAAGATTCAATGATATGGTATCCAAACTGAGAACGTCCACACCCAAGTTTGCATAGCTGATAGAGTTCTGTTTTGAATCTGTCCAGTACAAGGTATTCACCCATTTAGTCATTTCTTCTGTTTCTATGGTTACAGGCGATGCTATGGCAACCATATTTGGATGCCCTCCATGAGCATGAAAATATACCAAGCAGTGAGAACCGTCCATGTGGCATCTAAGAATCTTTGCATCATTTCCCCAGTCACAAATATATAGAAATCTGAACAAAATAAAAGATTTCACCATAGTTTCAACATGACTGAATTAATAAATAAATTAGTTGTATTCATTAGGCAAAATTCACCTTTAACCCTTTCACTGCCATAGTCGTCCCTGTTATTTTTGGCGTATTTGCCATATGGATGGCTTTTGCCGTTTCTATAATGATAATAATAATAAATTAATAATAATAATAATAAAAATAATAATAAATACTGTAAAATTCCTATTAAACGCCCCCGGGGCTAAACATTTTCCAAAAGGGGGCTATTATTACAACACGTTTTTTCCTAAATCCAAACATCATTTAAAATATACTTAGTGTTAACAAGTGTTGGTAATAACATTAAAATGTGTTGATTTAAAAGTTCATGTGATACATTTTTGTGTTTACTATGAAATAAAATGGATTCTGAAGGATTTGAATAAAATTACAGATTTATTAAAGAGTTCACCACTGATGGGCTTTTATTAGGGGCGGGGCTTTATTAGGAATTTTACGGTATAAAGAAAATTATACCATCAACAATAATTATTATTATGCTAACAGATTTGGAAAAATATATAATTATTAAAATACTAATAACAAATAAAATAATTATATTACTAGTAATTGATAATATTGTAATTTCTTAGAAAACCCTCTGGCAAATAGGTAATCAATAATGGCAGCGAAAGGGTTAAATATGGTCAAATGTGTTAGAAAAACACATATATTTAAGGGAAGGGAGACTATTAAGTTTGTACTTACCCATGTTCTGGATCAACAGTTATTCCCCTTGGTCTACTTAGATCAGAAATAAGCTTTCTAGAAAAAGATCCATCAACACTTCCTGCATGAACACTTCCCTGATAAATATAAAAAAAATTACTGAAAACAATTTAATTTAACCTTTAATCAAAAGTATTAATACTGTCCAAGCAGTATAGAACCAAGCAAGGCCAGCCAGTTGTACAAGAAATCTTACTGGGCTCTCTACAGTTGGAATTAAGTACTTTTTGTATTTTGTTTAACTGGTCACCCCATAAATCTAGAATGGGTTGTTCCAAATTTAAAGCATGGCAAATTCATTACATATTTTACAGACAATATCTATTGCTGCTGTTAAGTTTCCTTGAAATTATAATTATGTATATTTTTAATTTCACTGAAAAATTATCAAAACATTATCATACAATTCATATTTTTTCTATCTAATTTTTTTTGTTTTGTTTGGTATATCGAAAAAACACAGTATAAAGAATTATGGTGACTTTCTAGATTTGATTTGAAGTAGACCTTGGGTGCCCCTCCATGCACTATTTCAGGCATAAAAGGGCACATGAGTTCAAACAGAATCTGATGTTCTGTAAGCTGCAGTGAAATCCAAAGTATCTAATAGTATTCATGTCAGAATTCAAACCCAAAGTGGTGAGGAGAAAGTAGTTTGATTCGTTTAGACAAGAACCTTAAACACTCAACCAACAATGCCTCTGAAATGAGATTTTCAGTGAGGTATTTAATTACACTTTTTCCAATACTTAAAGATCAGCTATATATATATTCATTTTCAAGTTGTTTTATTAGAAATATATATCTTTTATTTTTTTTATTGCTTAAAATGATCTCGCTATATGTTTATTAATAGATCGGTTAATTAAAATGCATTTTTAAGTAAATGACAGCACTTAATCATGAGTTTCAAATTGATTATTTACTTTATTTCATATTAGAATAACATGTGTATGCATACATGTTTCAACTGTCAACGCACAATCATTAAATAAAGTTTAAATTGGGATAATATCGTTCATACAAATAACAATATTTCAGTATATTGAACAACTTAAAAAATTTAAACCTAGTTAAGTAGTAGGTCATATCATATTTCATTTGATCTACAAATATACTATTTGGGACACCTGCGTTTGTAATAAATAGATAATCATTTCAAATGCACTTATCAATGCTGTTTGAAATATGAGATCTATATATCACAAAGGAAATATAGAATTAATTAGGGTAGACTTTTGAAATAAATATTTTAAAATATTGATCTGTCTAAAATGAATAAGAATAAAATTTAAGGATTTGCAAACCAAACAAGAACAAATTATTGTAATATACTATATCAATTTGTGTAATATAAATAATTTTAAATAAATAATAAAAAGTTTTGTTCATATCAGCATATCAACTAAAAGTTAAGTTAATATGTATATCATTTTTATCTCAATTGTTCAAGACGCAAAAGTCTTGCATGATATCTTTAACGAAATAGTTGATGTCTTATTTTTACAATTCTTATATATAATATCTGTATTTGTATTAAAAAAAGTCTACTCTACTATTTAGGATGGTGGCACAGTGACTTGTGTGAGTTTTTATTTATCTTCACAGTGCACAAGAGAAACTTTGTCATAGCCACCAGTTGCTAAGTCGTGGCCATGAGATAATAGAAATAAGTTGAGTGCACAAGATACTATGTTGAGGCCACAAGTTTCTAAGTCGTGGGTATGAAATAAATACTTAGTCATGCACACGAGATAATTAACCAATCCGATTACACTTTTTACATGAATTTTCCTGGTTAACTAGAAATGTGTTGTAGGACAAGGATGCCCCTACTTCACTTCCAAATGAAAGTGCCATTTAAACAAGTTATTAATTGGACAGTGATTTTATATTCAGCATCAATGTCAGACCCTTGATTTTTGACCTAATGACCTCAAAACTATTAGTTGTCATCTACTGATTTAAAGTGCAATGATTTTTCTAGATTATATAAACCATGGCATATTTCTTCTAAATAATTCATCAGACAAGGATTTGTCATGGTAACCTTGACCTCAAACATTCTTATAGGCTATCTACTGGCCATGGGCAAGGTCCCTACCAAATGAAATAACCCAGGACTTATTCCTTCTCAAATTATCATATAAACAAGGTTAACAAACTGTTGTATACATGTACTTTACATACTGAACAAGTCAAGACTATCAAAGCATTAAGGGCTATAACTTAGTCAAAATTAATGTCTGATTTATAGACCTTTGAAGGTGACTTTCTGATATGATTCTTAAGACATGTATTAAGTTCAAAATTTTCAGATTAATGTTGCATGTAAAACTTTAAGCTGGAATTTTCTAAGTTTAAAAAATTCATATATATATAGTGTAATCTGATTAGTTAATCATCTTGTGCACACAACTTAATAATCTAGTGGCCAGGACATAGTGCACCACTTAAAAATCTTGTGGCCACAACTACAACTAAGTAACTCGTGGCCATGGCATAGTAATTTGTGTGCATGAGATATTAGATAAACAAAAACCCACAAATGTCACCTTTGTGCCACTGTAATTTAGTCCAAAAAGATATTCTGTATAAAAAAATCATACATTAGAGTTCTTGGTCTTGAACTTTTATCTAGTCCTGATTTCTGCGATGTTTTTGTAATCTCTTGGTAAACTACAACCTTAATTAGTCGATTAAAAAAAGAGATCGCTTCCATTGATCAAAAAAATTAATGTGTCAAACTTGAGTTAATAATTTTGTTGTGTATTATAATTATACAAAAAAGGGATTTTTAAATTTTGGAATATATATATAAATTTATAATCTAGAGTGAATATTTATATAAAGGAATTTGAAAATATTGATACGCAAAAAAGGTACGTTACGTAGTCTTATTTTTAAAAATGTTTGGGATCCTTTTGGATGAGTCATTTCTGCGACGTGTCAAAAAGCAATTATTATTGGAGCAAAATATGTCAGGGTATTCATTTTTCTAATTTATTTCATTTCTACATAAAAAAATTATTTAAAAAAGTTACATTTTATCTAAAATTTCAAATTATTTCTGACCGTTTTCATTCAAGTTTTATATCATTTTCAAAACAATTGTAAATGTTAAGAGAATGATTATAGCAATGCAGTTAGACTAATGTCCAATTCTGTGGCTGAAACAAGCCCTGCGGAAAGTAATTTAACCATTATTTTTTATTGTACATCAAATTGAACGAAATGAAACAGGAAACTGAGACATTTTATTTTAAATTTCATCAAAAATATTTTCAAGAAAGTGTTTATTTTTCATTCATGAGAACGACAACTTGACTAGCGTATTTATTACGAAACTTTCAATTTGTTCCATCGATATACATATTTAAGTACAATAACGTATTTATTAATTATGATTTTTCAATATTTGGTGTACCAGAGACATTTGATTCTGTACAAAAAAATCATACAAGAGTTCTGGGTCATAATTTCTACGATGTTTTAAAAATCTCTTTGGTAAACTACAACCTTAATTAATCGATTAAAAAAAAGAGATCGCTTCCATTGATCAAAAAAATTAATGTGTCCAACTTGAGTTAATAATTTTGTTGTGTATTATATACAAAAAAGGGATTTTTAAATTTTGGAATATAATATATAGATTTATAATCTAGTGTGAATATTTATATAAAGGAATTTGAAGATATTGATACGCAAAAAAGGTACGTTACGTAGTCTTATTTTACCGGTATGTTACGTAGTCTTATTTTTAAACAATTTGTTTGGAATCCTATTGGATGAGTCATTTCTGCGACGTGTCATTAATTAATACAAAATGTCAGGGTATACATTTTTCTAATTTATTTCATTTCTACATAAAAAAATTATTTAAAAAAGTTACATTTTATCTAAAATTTCAAGTTTTCATTCAAATTTTATATCATTTTCAAAACAATTGTAAATGTTAAGAAAATATAGCAATGCAGATAGACTTATTAAGTGTCCAATTCTGTGGCTGAAACAAGCCCTGCGTAAAGTAATTTTACCATTATTTTTCATTGTACATCAAATTGAATGAAATGAAACAGGGATACAGCTTAACTGAGACATTTTATTTTAAATTTCATCAAAAAAAATTTCATGAAAGAGTTTATTTTTCAGTCATGAGAACGACAACTTGACAAGCGTATTTATTACAAAACTTTCAATTTGTTCCAGCTATATACATATTTAAGTACAATAACGTATTTATTAATTTTCATTTTTCAATATTTGGTGTACCAGAGACATTAATGAGCCAGGTGACGACAAAACCAACATAATGCGTTTGCGACCAGCATGGATCCAGACCAGCCTGCTAATCCGCACAGTCTGATCAGGATCCATGATGTTTGCTTACAAACCCTATAACAAGTAGAGAAACTGATAGCGAACAGCATGGATCCTGATCAGAATGCGCGGATGCGCAGGCTGGTCTGGATCCATGCTGGTCGCAAACGCATTATATTGATTTTGTCATGACGCGGCTCATTTGCAAAACTACTAGTGTTACACCTATAGGGCTTGGTATGTTTTGGATCGATTTTGGCGCATCAACAAAATATTTTCAATTTTTTATACATCAAAATTAAATTATAATTATAACAGATGAAGCAAGATTAATTCAGATACCTTTTAAGACAAATTACCTAAATTACACCTAAATTTATACATAAGATATGACTCAGAGACCATATTTACAAGGTATTAATGCCAAAGCCAAAGTCGTGAAATTATTAATTCATTTAAGCAACTATGGTTACCTCATAAAAAGTAGCAGAATGATGACTTGTATTTTTACCTGCTTCAGTGAAGTGTTCTTATATCACATAGTGGTTTGGTTAACCCTGAACATGCTGAATACTTTAAATGGACTTGTCCCACTTCAATTTTTGGGATTGTCCATTATCAATTTTAGCGATATCAATTTGAATAATTAAAATTTGTCAGCCAACAGTATAGAGCCTGGTCAGACTGCACGGAAGTGCAGGCTGGCCTGGCTCTGTACTGGTGGCAAAGACAAAATGCTTTCGGGTCCAGCACTTAAAGGGTTAATGTCTACGGTATATATACTGAATATGTAGAAAAAAATTTAAAAGAGTAAGATTTTTAGTGTATTTATTTAGTGAAGTAAGACACCATCAAAATGGTGGTCAGTTCATCATTCTCATATTGAATGATCTTAAAAAGTAAACATTTTCCTAGCAACAAAAATATAAATCTGGTTAATGTTCATTATTTCAGCAACCATTATCCGCTTACTCATTTCTTTTAACTTGATTTAAGATAAAATATTTTGGTCACTTTTATTCCTATGTTACTGACTTTTGGCCATCATAGAGTTGGCAGATTACCGCGTTACTTTTGTGTTACTTGCACATTCTTGCAAGAAAAAAATAAAAAAGTAGTCCCTAAAAATAAATATAAATTTTGACTCAGCCCACTTTCTTTCAAATTTGTTTTTAACAAATATGATATACATTTGACTGATATAGCACCATATTTCATGGGTTAAGCTAAATAAGGGAGCATTACTCACTTAAGCCATATGTCAAATTGTTTAAAGGAAATAATTATAAGTATGTTCAAGAAACAATAAATATCCTTTGTTACATTGATAATATATGAGCTTGAAATGACATTTGAGCCGTGTCACGACAAAACCAACATAATGGGTTTGCGACCAGCATGGATCCAGACCAGCATGCGCATCCGCTCAGTCTGATCAGGATCCATGCTGTTCACTTACAAACCCTATTCCAATTAGAGAAACTGATAGCGAACAGCATGGATCCTGATCAGACTGCGCGGATGCGCAGGCTGGTCTGGATCCATGCTGGTCGCAAACCCACTATGTTGGTTTTGTCATGACACGGCTCATTTTTACTTTTTCAGATATTCGGAAAGGTTCCAAGGAAAGAGTAAGGTAATTATGATTGACATGTATTTGACTGGTTTTCACAAATACAATGTATGCTGAATATTTCATTTAGTTTCAATATATATGTATTAGACAACAAGCAACAATGGCAATGCCAGAAAACCAGGTTTTAAATTACAAATGTATCATCAATCTTAAAAGTTTTGTTGTCATACGAGCAATATACAGTATAACTTTGTGCATCAAATTTGACAATGGCCTTATGGGGCTCAAAAGCTATCATAATTGAAGCTTTCAAATACTGTAGAAATGATATACAAGTTTCATTAAAATCTTATTTACAGCATGTACAGTTACAGACCTGAAACCAATTTTCTTTTTTAGTAATAGTGACCTTTTATTGACCCTAGGGAACCCAAAAGTAATTTTAAGCGAAATTTCTATACACCAAATTTCATTGAAATATCTAATTCCAAACTCTTAATTTTTGACCGGAAACCTATTTTCTATTTTTAGCAACAATGACCTTGACCTTGCTCCAGGAGGCCCAAAAGTGATCATATGTGAGGACTTTACGTAACTTTGCTAAACATGAAGTTTCATTGAAATATCTTATTCTAAACTCAAGTTATAGACCAGAAACTGACTTTCTATTTTTAGTAACAAAAACCATGACCTTGACTCTAAGGGGCCCAAAAGCAATCCAAAGCAAGGTCTTTTCATAAGTTTGCTATACACAAAGTTTAATTGAAATATCTTATTCCTTACTCTAATTATCGAGTGGAAACAGATTTTCTATTTTCAGTACAAGACTTAGTGTCCTTGACATCGACTCTACGAGACCAAAAACTAGACAAATGAGCTTGCATTAGCATGCCATGCTAGATTGTTTTCATTCAATAACTTTATGAAGTTTGGTTAAATGTAATAGTTGTGATTAAAAGGATATTACACTATAATTCATATAACATATATGGAAAAAACAAGGGGCAATAATCAGGACAAAGCGTATCAAATCACTAAACCGCGAAAATATGTGCCAGGGCAGAGTAGAACAAATGGCCATAATTAGGTCAAAAATTATCAAATCATAGATCCCCGACAATTATGCACCAGGGCTTTTAATGACAAAGCCTCTGTGAAAGTGTTGTCAAAATTCCTTGATAATTAAAAGAGAAGTTGCACACAGAAGGAATTTGTTCACTAATATATTCCATTTAAGAAATAAAACAAATGGCCATAATTAGGTCAAATATTATCAAATCATAAAACCCCGACAATTATGCGCCAGGGCACTCAATGAAAACGCTTCTGTGAAAGTTTGGTCAAAATTCATTTAGAGTTGTATCAGAACTTGAATTTTCTTTTAATTATGTGCTTAACTGTCCTGCAGAGCAAGTGGATATTAAAACTTATTCGTCCTGCTTCTGCATTATACATCTTACTTGTCACCATATAAGATGAATAAGAGTTTATATGAAGCAATTATAAGAAAGTTTGGATAATTCATTTTTAAATGTATATGCATACAAATTTAGATATCTCTATTTGAAAACTTTCAGGGAAGCTCTTTCCTTGTGTCTGACTGTAAGATTTGTGATAAAAAGCTCCCTACATTGACTGGTACCTGCAGTATACCATTTACTTAACTATAACTGTTTTGGGAACAAATTTATAAATGGCAACTGTTTTAACCCCAAGTCTACAGGTGGCAACTGATTAACAAGTGTTACTTGTACAGACCACGAGCCTGCATATACCTGCATAGTGTGCTATATTGATTTAGTTGGTATATATTATTGAAATTATTTCTAAACTAGAAATGTGTCCATAGGACACGGGTGCCCCCACCGCGCCACTGTTCTGTCAATCTTATGACTCTAGGTCAAATATTTTTTGAAAACTAAAAATCTTTTACTAAGTAAAGGTTAAGAACTTTACAAATACTGAATAAATCCACAAGCAAACCCCAAGGTGCATAAGAACATTCTTGTAAACTTTCAGGCCTACCAGTGAAATACTTTGAACTATGCATGAACAAGTTGAAAATTGTGAATTTATACTACTGCAAGTCAAGGGCAATAACTCTAACAAAACTGAAAAAATCCACATGCAAAGTCCCAGTGAAATGAATCATTATTCCTGTTATTTAGTGATGTTGATCATTATTCCTGTAAAGATCATTGATTCTAACTCAAGCACTCAAGGAACAAATAACAATAGATTGAAACGGTTTTTACTAAGTCAAGGGAAATAGCTCTACAAAAAATGGATAAATCCACAAGCAAAACCCCAGGTGCAAAACTAAATATGCTGAGCAACCTTCCCGTAAGGTTTAATGACTCTAGGTCAAATCCTTTTTGAATTACATTCGACACAAGTTGAAAATTGCAAAAAATTTATAAGTCAAGGGCAATAACTGCAAAAATACGAAATAAATCCAGTCGGAAATACCCAGGTGCACAACTACACATGCTGATCAACATTCCTGCAAAGTTTCATGACTCTAGGTCAAATACTTTATGAGTTATGTGCGACACAAAAGAGAACGGATGGACGGACAGACGGACAAGGGTAAATCTAAATGCCCGCCACTAAAGTGGGGGCACAAAAAAAGATTAGAATGACAGAGTGACAAGATTTGGTTTAAGATCAAAAATACAATTTGATTTAACCCTCCTAGATAACATAACTACATGTATAAGACTCATATTAACACTATGATCAATTTTATCTTTTACAGCCTCTACCACCCATAAACAGGACCCCAAACCAAACAGAATATTCACAGAGGTACACTACTAGGGTAAGTTCAGTTTTGGATTCCTTATTATATCATATGTCACCAGTATAGAGCTTGGCCTGAGAGTCTTAAACCTCTGTACCGTCTCACCTGACTCTACACTGGGAGGATATTTTTTGTATCCAACACTTTTGGTTTAAACATATTCATTTTAGCTTGATTGCCAAACAATGTCTTTCAACTTATATTAATCACTTTCGAGTCCACTTCCTGGAACCAACCAGTACCCAGGTGTCATATGAAGAAACATGGTTGTGACCCGAGTGGGGCTCGAACCCACGATATCTGGGTTGAGAGACAGACACCTTAACCACTTAGGTTACCGCTTCCATTGAACACTTTTAATTCATAAACTCATATCCCAGCATTCTCACTTGATAAATAGAACGCTGTCAAGTGTTAACATGATTATTTTCCTTAGTTTACCAGTTAACAACATTTGACCCCTTTAAATTGGCAATCAAATATTTGACAAAGTTTGAATATGATAGCAGGCAGATTAAAAAAATGTTGACTTTTTATTTTAAATATTTCGTTTTAAAGATGTCATTTTGTATGTCATGCTTCGCTTTGTTATTTATCATAATACTTCCATCATTATTTTTAAGCCATGCAGGCTCCTGATTTCAGGAGGCATAAAAATTACCCAGATACAGTTTAATTATGACAGGTGTTACCTCAAGAGTACTTTTAGGACTTTTGTAAGACTTGACATGTTGAAGTATTTTAATACCATAATATGTGTCGCTCATTTTCTGTTTTCTTCTCTTTTTTTTTAGAATTCACAACAAGATCAAAGAAGTCAAAGTACCCTTTCACACAAGCAGATTGGGGTAATGGATATTAATCTTTCATTGATAATTATTATATACCGTTATTCAAAACTATTCATGTATTGAATCTTAACTTGAATTAATTATGTACTACTTTACGGGCTGTAACAAAACTACTTTTTCATTAAGTTTTAAACATTTATCTTTAAGAAAGCTTTCAGCTTATTTTGAACCACAAGTCACATAATAATACATTATTCTCCATTATTATACAGCATTAATATGTACTGCCTTCTAATGTTTTCTTGTTTAAGACTGGATTACAACAATATGGAAGAAGTAACAGTAACTTTTTACAGCAAGGAAGATATCAGGTACAGTCAAACTTTGTTTGCTCGAACTGGGAGGGCCTGTGGAAATTTGTTCGTAATCGGTAGTTCCAGCCATTTTTTACTGAGGTTGAACTACTGTATGTGTAGAAATATTCACAGGCTTCAAATTTTTCATAATCTTGGCAGAGAGAACAATGTATATATATCAGTGTGTTCAAAGCTGCCATAAGTCTGGCGTCAGTGGCGCTTTCGAAGAGTGATTTATACTGTTGTATAAACTGTACATGTAACATTCAGCTCTGTAATTATTAAATTAGTTCGCTAGTGTTATATAATTATTGTTTGACTGATATGATTTATTATCTGATTCTTGTATAAGTATATACATGTTTGAACAATACCATTGCATCACGCTATTTATTTCAAAGTCTGAGTCATAAACATCTGGACATCTGGTCAGATTATATTTTGGTATCTAAACAAACAATTACAAACAACACAAACATTAACGATTTTAACTCATGAAAACATGGAAAACAAAACATAATTATTCAGTCAACCTAATTAACAAAATCAGTGAAAAGGGTATGGTCTCATTCAGTGCTGTTTAAAACTGTGAAAAATCATGCACGTTAACGGACATTCTTTTATTTGCCATAATCTGTCCCCAAGACAAATTGAATGTCTTTGTTTTGTACAATAGTCTTTTATTTGACACCAGGTGTTGAAAATAACTGTGAAGTCCCAAATTAGATTACAGTAAAAAGTATGTAAAATGAAAAAAGGCTGCTTGCGAAAATCAATGCCTAATCATGTAAGAGTAATTTCCCTTACTCTTTTATGATTTTCTGCAGTCACCTCTACGAATTCAAAATAGCGTGAATATTTGTATATACCCCAATAATATATATTATTATTATTAAAAATAACAAGAATGTCGAACAACACATATACTCACCTTTCTAGCCATTGACTCACATAATTGGTAATTTTATTACAGAAACTTGCAAAAAATGGGTACATGGAAGTGTTCATTATGGAAAAATCAACGGAAACCATTTTGACATTTAAGGCCCATGTGACATTTACCTTTGACCTAATGACCCCTAAATCAATACAGGTCATCAACTACTTATGACCAATAACTAGGTGAAATATGAAGACTTTGTGATGAATTCTTTTCAAGATAATCAGCGGAAACCATTTTGACATTCAAGGCCCCTGTGACCTTGACCTAGTGACCCCAAAATCAATAGGGGTCATCTACTAGTTATGACCAATCACTATGTGAAATATGAAGATTTTGTGATGAATACTTTTCAAGATAATCAGCGGAAACCATTTTGACATTCAAGGCCCCTGTGACCTTGACCTTTGACCTAGTGACCCCAAAATCAATAGGGGTCATCTACTACTGATGACCAATCACTATGTGAAATATGAAGACTTTGTGATGAATACTTTTCAAGATAATCAGCAGAAACCATTTAGACATTCAAGGCCCCTGTGACCTTGGCCTTTGACCTAGTGACCCCAAAATCAATAGGGGTCATCTACTAGTGTTGACCAATCAATATGTGAAATATGAAGACTTTGTGATACATACTTTTCAAGATAATCATCGGAAACCATTTTGACATTTAAGGCCCATGTGACCTTGACCTTTGACATAGTGACCCCAAAATCAATAGCGGTCATCTACTAGTTATGACCAATCACTGTGTGAAATATGAAGACTTTGTGCTGCATACTTTTCAAGATAATCAGCAGAAACCATTTTGACATTGAAGGCCCCTGTGACCTTGACCTTTGACCTAGTGACCCCAAAATCAATAGGGGTCATCTACTAGTTATGACCAATCACTGTGTGAATTATGAAGACTTTGTGATAAATACTTTTCAAGATAATCAGCGGAAACCATTTTGACATTTAAGGTCCCTATGACCTTGACCTTTAACCTAGTGACTCCAAAATCAATAGGGGTCATCTACTACTTATGACCAATCACTTTGTGAAATATGAAGACTTTGTGATAAATACTTTTCAAGATAATCAGCGGTCACCATTTTCACATTTTAAGGTCCCTGTGACCTTGACCTTTGACCTAGTGACCCCAAAATCAATAGGGGTCATCTACTAGTGATGATTAATCACTGTGTGAAATATGAAGACTTTGTGATGCATTCTTTTCAAGATAATCAACGGAAACCATTTTGATATTTAAGGTCCCTGTGACCTTGACCTTTGACCCCAAAATCAATAGGGGTCATCTAATAGTTATGACCAATCACTATGTGAAAAATGAAGACTTTGTGATAAATACTTTTCAAGATAATCAGCAGAAACCATGTGGTCTACTGACGGACAGACCGACAGACAGACAGACCGACATTAGAAAAACAATATACCCCCTCTTCTATGAAGGGGGGCATAAAAATATTTAATAAAAATCCTAAAATCTTTCCAAACTATAACTATCGCTGAATGCGATTCATACCCCAACCAATGTCCTTGACAGAAGACGCCTTGGAAAGGTGGTTAAGGGAATAACTTAAGTGGCACAAATACATAAAAAGAAATTATCTCTGGTGAAAGAAAGACTAATTGTACAAGTAATAGTATTATATGTTATTTTGGTTTTGGAGTGATATATGTGGATATATTACCTGTTAAGATTTTATATCACCCGAGCCGTTAGGCGAGGGTGATATTTTATCTTGGCAGGTAATATATCCACATATATCACTCCAAAACCAAAATAATAATTTTATTACCCTTCCCCTGCCGAGTTTAGATGATTTTTTAAAAAATCATTGTTGTTTCAAATGAAACGTCAAAATAAGATTCCCTTCAGGATACCTCTTCGTCACAACATGACGTCACATAAATACATGACGTATTTTTTCCGTACCTTACGAAAGTAAACAAGAGAAAAGGAGTAGTCTATTGAACGCACTTTTTGTAATTAATATCAAGCTTTCACAAGGTCATATTTGTTTTCGATACTGATTGTAATATGTATCATTACTCTACTTTGGTACATATTTATCATTTGACAGTTAAAAAGTGCTTTTAAATCGGAATTTACACCGCGTAAAATCGAACCGTACGCGCATCACCTCAGCGCATGTTGTTTACAACGTTGGGTACCAAACGGGGAATTTTAGTGTGTATATTACCCGTCTGGCTCGGTTATATCAATTTCTTTCGGGTGATCAATATCCAATCAAAAAGGCGGAAAAAATCTCGAAGGGTAATAAAAATATATATTATCAAATCATGTTTGAAACAGTTACAAATAACCTTTCATTTTCCCAATGTACTAAACATTTTATAAGTCAATTTTTGACCTTCAAGTGTGGCCTTGACCTTAAGCTGGCACAAGTGTAAGATGGGTCATGCTCATCGCCCAGTTGGGGTGAACATTTGAGAAAAGTTTGAAGAAAATCCTTCCATTAGTATAGAATTTATAGAGAGGACACAACATATTGTCTTGTATTGATTGTATGTAAATTTAAAGACTTAAAAAGGGGCATAACTTTGTTAAAGTGCAATACAGAGTTATTAAACCTGACCTGCATATCTTATTTGTGACACTTCATATATGTTTTAAGTTTCAAGCAAATACCATTTCTAGATTCAGAAATATTAAAATAAATGTTAAAATTTAAGAATATTTTCTAAGTCAATTTTTGACCTTCAAGTGTGATCTTGACCTTAAGCTGGAAAAAGGGTGACATGAGTTCTGCACATTACCTTGTTAAGGTGAACATTTGAGCCAAGATTGAAGAAAATCTTTCAATTAGAGTCCGACTTGCAGAGTGGACAAGACATACTGTGTTATATTTGATTGTTTGATATTTGACCTTCAATTGTGACCTTGACCTTGAGCTGACACATGAGCAACATGGGTCCTGCACATCCCCTTGTTGAGGTGAACATTTGAGCCAAGTTTGAAGAAAATCTTTCAATTAGTGTAAGACTTACAGAGCGGACACAGCATATTGTGTAATATTTGATTGTTTGATATTTGACCTTCAATTGTGACCTTGACCTTGAGCTGACACATGGGCAACATGGGTTCTGTGCATCCCCTTGTTGAGGTAATCATTTGAGCCACGTTTGAAGAAAATCTCTCAATTAGTGTAGGACTTACAGAGAGGACAGGACATACTGTATAATATTTGATTGTTTGATATTTGACCTTCAATTGTGACCTTGACCTTGAGCTGACACATGGGCAACTTGGGTTCTGCACATTCCCTTGTTGAGGTGAACATTTGAGCCAAGAAAATCCTTCAATTGGTATACGAGTTACAGAGCATACACGAAAATGGAGACGGACAGACGGACCGACACGACAAAGCGAATCCATTATAGCCCCCCACCATTTTGTGGTGGGGGTATAATAAGGGCTTCTTCACTGTAATAGTACTTAAATGTTTGAAGATGCCATCATAGACAGTAATTGTTTGCATCCATTTAATCACTGCAAATATTCAGTCATGCATTTTTCCCAATTTTTAACAAAACACCACTGAAATTTCCAATTCCATGGGTATGGGTGTGTTCCCATAATCATGGAAAAAATCCCTGTCGAAAATGAGTTCATTTGACCTAAGCTTTTTGTAAAAAAAAAGAAAAAGCCAACAAACTGTTGAAGTTGAACGGTGTTTAAAACTTGAAAGGGACAATAATTCTAGAAAATGAATGAGGCTTTGATCCAACTGAACCCTAACTCCAACCAAAGGAGAAGACTTCTTATATAATTTAATGTTCCTACCAGATATATTTAAAGACATCAATAGAATACGGTTAATTACACCTGTAAAACACTACTTTTGACAATCATATAGTGACCTTGACCTTAACCCAAATCCGACCCCTAATAAAACCCAAAGGAATAAGACCTCCCTAATGGCATGTCCATTTTATAAACATGAAAGACATCAACTTGAAAATAATTAAAGGCTGTATGAGCAAATTTTTTTTAAATTTATTTTTACGCCAGTGACCTTGACCCTTAAGTGATGCCTTTCTCCATGAAAATTAGAGGACTATCGAAGGTATCCACCAACCATATATAGAAGATATCATTAAATTAATTTCGTATAATAATGTGGAGACTTAGTCTACTCGGAATTTCTCTTTTTAGCAACAGCTAGTGACATTGACCTTG